ATTTTGCAGTAACCAGGTTAACTGGGAAGTTTTCTCTGCTGTGAGTGTCTGCAAATTTTGGTCCTTGTGCTTGTAAGGTTTTTTTTTTTTTTCTCCCCTTAGAGGGCTTTGTATTTGTATAATTCTAAGGAATACACTACTTTTTGAGAGTAAGAACTGTAGAAATGGCTGGATCATACCAGCATTTTGACTTATAAAAGACTGCTTGGTGGTAAATAATTAAATGGTTATATATATATATATATATTGATAGAGGTTAAATAAAAATTTTTAAGTTGACATCTAAAACATTTTAAAATATTCTTTAATGAACCACAGAAAAATATAAAGAAAAGAGATTAACTTTTGAACTTCTGATCACTTTTCCCACTTGAGGATCTTTGTCTCTCTGATTACATCATGCCATAGAACATTGGATATGCTCTCCCATGTCTTGTCTATGTCTAAAACAGTCAACTACACTTTTTTTTTTCTGTTCACTTTGTCATAAGTTGAATAACAAATTAATGTAGTTTTCCCTTGTCCCCAATCCTTGCCATCTTCTTGACATCCATTAATCATTTACAAAGAAAGATTTCATTTCTCATTGTTAGAGGCACACCAATCCCATTGGAGCCAAAGATTTTGAGTTCTGTCTTTATTTATTGAGTTTGTTTCTTAATTTTTTAGTGTTCTTAACGTGTGGTTTCACCATTTAACCTTGTCAAATGAGCTTTCTGCTGTAGGTTACCACCAATGAAGCTGTTGAATTGTCGAGGAGAGTAGTGTTGGAGGAAGGTCTCAAGGTAATATGCAAATATATTTCGATATAAACATCTATTGCCATTGTTCATTTATTTTCTCACAGGGCATAGGTTGTTTTTGTTTTTAGTTATTATGAATGGCTGATTTTTAGTTAGCATAAGTGGCTGACTTATCATTATTTATGCTTAAGGGTGCAGAATTGCCTGAAATTGTCCACCAAAAAAAAAAAAAAAGAAAACTGTGACAAAACCATCACTCAAATTTTTTAATTCAAGATTTCAACCCAAAATTAATGGATGATGTCATTTCACATCACTTTTCTATTAACTACCTGCTTGCATGGCATTTGTTCTTACTTGGTGTTGATGGGGAGATGTCTGTACATGTCTTGTGGAACCCAAAACCACGTCATGCAAGCAATTACTTAACAGAAAAATGAAGTGTGATGCTGTCATCTGTTAATTTTGGGTGGAATCTTAAATTCAAAAAGTTTAAGGGTGATTTTGCTACTGCCTTTTTATTTCTTATTTTTTTTTCTTATGAAGGGTGAATTTGCTCCAACTAAATAATTTGGGGGTAATTCTGCACTTTCATCCATATTTTGTCTATATGCTTTTCTAATGGAACATGCTAGCAGCACTGACCATCTAATTTGCTGTTAAGTGGTTACTAGATGATATAGGTTATATTTCTAAGCTTTGGTGAGAGTCATATTCCGACTGCTCTTTTCCATTCTACACATGAAGAGGTTCAGAAAATGCCTACAAGTTCATGTAAAATTACTCTTTCTAGATGGGTCCTACCGTGCAAATCCATT